AAAACAAAGATCTGTTTTTTAAATGGAGAAAAAAAAAAAAGGTTTACCTGTAGAACGAAACAGCGTGTGGTGAGTGCTGAGCAGATGAATTTCAAGAACATGTTGAACCAAATTTACCAGAAAGTGTAACAAAAACCCTAGTTTAAGGAGAAAATATATAAAAGGGGTGGAGTGAGTGCTCAACAACTGTTGTCTTTTGTTATTGGTTTTGTAGTGGAGCTGCATATGCACTCTCACTAATACACTCATCAGTATTTAGTAGTATTTATTACTCATACTGATGAGAGCTACATAGAAAAATAATAATAGTAATTACTTAGTTTTATCTGATTGGACTTTGCTGGTTACGAATTGCACTTAAAGACAAGTGCACGGATAACTTAAAGTAATTACAGTAATTAGCTGGCAAAGTGGTCCCATACTAATTGCAGTGAAGACTTTCTTTATAGATGAATAATGGTGCAAAGAAAATTAGGGAATTGAGTATTTTATATTTAAAGCCTTCTTTCAGTTTTGCTAGTGACATTCTTATTTTATAGTGTTTTTATAATATACTAATAATAATAATAGAAAAACTTTCAGGCAAAATAGTTAATATTATCTAATTTTCTAGCATCGGTACTTGCTACATATTATTGTGTATTATAGGACGACCGCATTAAACTTTGCCACTAGAAATATTCGACTTCGTGGAGACACATTTGACCAAGGGAGAATTTTATTTTAGCTGGCGATTGTATATAAAAGATTGGGAAGAAAACTTTGTCCCTGAATAACACGGTTTTAACGAATCACCATATAAATTCATTATCTGAACTACATGGATTTGTAATTTAGCCATCTGAAACGAATTAAAGTTGTTTTTGTCCAAAAACAGTTTTGTTCACAAAGATATTTTAGAAATTTCATACATTTTTTAATAAAAAAAAAAGAATAAATAAGAAAAAAACATGGTTTTAAATAGCGCGCTATAGCGCCGCTATAGCGGCTCAGATCAGCTAACGCCAAGCTATTGATGTTTTTGCCGCTGATATAGGATATTATACTGGACCCGGTTTAATGGATAAAGCGAATACATTTTAGAAGATAAGCTCACGTGCGGACTAAAGACATATAGCACCGCGATATGGGCCAAGCCTAATTTGGGCCCAAAAAGTACACTTCCCCTATAAAAGGGGGGTTAAGGTATTCCTTTCTCTCATTCTC